GAACCGCTCAGCACCGTCATTTCATGCACCAGACTCCGATGGCTGAGCCAGATGTTGTGCATGATAGCCCACCGACTTCCACGACGTGTGTAGTTTGCTCACCGGGGATGTGGATGGGAGAAGATGAGGGGTGGCTAAGCGATAACTACGTCCAGAGGAATGAAGGCCCTCACTTCTGAGCTGGCCTCGGTTGGAGCGTCTCATCTCCCTGGTTGGGGTCCAAAAGACGGTGAACACGTTTGGCTGGATACACTTGCTGACATGGCAGGGAACCGACCTCAGTGGCGTTCCTGCTGTGAGTTTCTTTGTCCCCCCCCCATCCATTTTAGCCTCCCCCTTTCACCTTCGATCTCATTTCTTAGCTTAAATCATAGTAATTTTTTCATTTTGCCTAGTAGCTTTCTGGTAGCTTACCGGAACGATGCCTATCCGTTGCAGGTAGCTCAGCTGGCACGCAAATTTGTATTTATTTTCCTTTTTCCTTTATGTGTTGCGGTACAGTAGCTGAGGTGTTTCCCACCTCTAGCTGACGTGTATAATGATGATTATGGTGATGCCGGTACCTCCAGGTCTTGTAGATTTAATTCCCGGGAGATGAAAACGTGGCTGTGCATATTGTGTGTTACTCTGTTCAGACCACGTAGCAAACGGGAATCCATTTCGGGAGTGGACGTTGGGGGGCGGTAAACGACAGCTACGAGAGATGCATCGTTGAATCTTAGTCGGAGACAGTACCCGAGTGAGTCAGTAACGTGTGTTTCCAGATCATCAACGGTTGTACATTGTAGATCGCTGCGGTAGTAGAGTAGGACCCCACCTCGTCTGCTGAGGTGGTCGTTCCGGATGAGTGACATTCCGGCTATCTCAACCTCAGCATCAGTCACCTCTTGGTGTAACGTAGTTTCGGCCATGGAAATTAGGTTTCAAGCATTCGCAACCTGACGTAGTCAAAGTTCAGTAAATTTGCTGAGGAGCCCTTGGGCATTCGTGTAGATACATGAAAGTTTCTCAGATTTAAGCAATGTTTCGGAGGTTGTGCAACTCAAGCGTGAAGATTTGCCGACCAGTGAGAGGCCGGTGACTAATCGTTTTTTCGATGTGTACTAGGTGAAGGGTTCAACGTATTATTCATCGTCTGTGTAGTTAGTTCCATGTCTAATCTTCGACGTACAGTGTAAGGTGTCTGGTCAATATCACCTTCTACAGGTTGTACGGGCTCATTCGGCACGTTACTGGTGCATTGTTCTTTCATAGATCCCATCGCGTTTGGTTCTTTGAGTGACATATCATCTCTAGGAGGCATTTCGCTGACTGTCTTTAGCCGAACCTAAGATTGTATCCTGCAACGGAACATGTACCAGCTTTTAGCTGCCGTGTGGCCATAGGTTTTGACTGAAGTACCACCACTCTCGGGCCACTTGCTTTGTAGTTCTTTGAGGTACGCAGTCGTAACACGGACTTCGCTAACATATCATCCAAGCAGTGTTTCAGGAATATAACACCATTGCTCTTTATTATGGGTTGTTACCTCACGTTCATCATATGCTTCAGTTGCAGGAACCACGTGAACAAGTATGGTTCGGGTTACAGTTTCCTTCCGGTAATCCTCAAAGGTGCGGTTAACTCGATAACGTTCGCTCCATGGGATGTCTGGTAAGATACGGATGGAGCAATGTTCATTTCTGAGACTACATGTGGACAGTAGTACTGATTCTACTTCAGTGATGAAGTTCAGCACAACGCGCAAAACTCTTGGCTCTCCGAAATGCCTAGAGTTGGGGTGTCGCGTAATATACACTACGTGTACAGGTTTTCGTACAACTCCGATTAGGTTACTAATAAAATCCCACTGGTTGAGGTCATCCAACTGCCTGTCTCTTATCGATGTCGGCTTTGATTCCGGGATATTAGAGCACAGTACGCTCCGTACAGGTAGTTGTTTCATTACACCTTTCGACATTTCGCGGCTAGTGATTGAAGTACTCGGAGATGTACTGCAGGAAGCCGGCAGTGTTTGCACTAGGAAAAGTCCGCTACGCCCCTCAGTTTTCGATCCATTCGGTGGTAATGTTAATTTTAAATGACGGCTCTTCTTGGAGGCAACCGCAACCCAATTTTCCCTAGTATCGGCTTGCACTGGAGTTGCGTCTGGAGTTTGGAACTAAGCTTATCTATAGTTACTCCGATCGAACTGGGAACCGCTTTAGTCAAATGTGAGCTACGTGTGGTATTGGGACAGCTGTTGATGTTCTGGACTCTATGTGTCGTGTTGCTCACGGTGTTATTAACAGTTCTTCGCGGGTTTAGAGCAGCAACCAAGGGGGAGGATTGGGTTGCACAGTCCGCTATGCCTACCCAAACCGTAGTGATTTGGGTGGTCACCATTTCCTCAAACTTGGCTAGTAGCTGGCCATACTTCTGAGACAATAGGAGCACGCTTTTTATCAGTGGGATCGATGTACATTCCACACAGAACCATAGCGAGTCTGGTTTGTTTAATAACTTGGCCTGAATATGTTTAACTCGGAGACATCTCGCATGGAAGAACTTGCAACAGTTACGGCACAAAATGCCCCCCTTAACAAGTTTTGAATATGATCCACATAAGTCTTCAGTCTGTGGCACACTGGGCATCATGCTTGTTGAGCACATGTTACGAACCATTTGAATGACTCACTCTCTAGGGTAAAAAGTCGTTCTGTTATTGATGTTGTCGTCAAGGTCACAATGTTCATGTTGCAGTTGTGTGCTTGCAGACTGTCCTTACTGGAGTGCCAGTCGAATGTGTCAGCTTGAACGTGGAGCATATTACACGAGGGTGTGATTGAGAATTTTCCTGCTTAAGCCTATGGATCGCGCCGGGTGAATTTGCTTTGAGACCTGTAGCTGCAGCAAGCAATGTTGGATTTGAACGAGTGACAGTTCGTTCAAAAGACGTTAAAATGGTCTATCGAGTGAGATCAAATAAGGTCTCCGATGGTTGGAGTTAGGCAACTTTTGGCGTTTGGATATCGGCGAAACACTGCCAGGAATTTAGAATTCGGGGCAAATGTCGAATGCACTGGAGTGTACTCGAGAAATAGTATCACAAGGTGGAGCTTTTAAAAGCACGAGGAATGAGTATAGATCCAAAGTGTGCGAAAAAATGCCACTGAGCCGCTGAAAGTAAACCACGAGTGCACAAGTAAGCGATCTTGCACGCACGTTCGCTTCGAGACCCCACTGACAGGCAAAGATAGTGGGTCATAATTGCTGATGCAAATCGCAAAGTCCAAATTGTTCGTGCACTAAGAAGTTTATAGCTCCCAGCACTAAGTTATATTTCTAACTTATTAGAAGAAAATAGAGCTTCACAAAAGGAAGAACACAGGGAGAACTGTTACGGTTTAATAGAAGAGCTCGCAGTTTAAGGCAGCGGAAAGCGTACGGGAACCCTAGTTGCTCACTGTCTGCCCCATTTCCGAAGGACTGTCAAACCACGGATGGGACCCGACCGCAGTCCTCAATAGAATGATGTGACTTCGTATTCCATCCAATTTGATGTTCATATTTTCCTCGATAGCTGCTAATGTGTGCAGCCAAAATACCCGATTAAAGAAAACACCCGACCGTCCTCAGTACCCAAGGTAATTCGTTGGTAGTTATACATGAAACACGGGTAAGTCAACTTAGACAGCTCATGCATAAAAACAGAGGTGCGGAGTTTAGTGTACTCTCAACGCCTTCGATAAATGTATGATGACCTGCGGAGGCATTCCCATTCCCCTTCTAAGCAAATGATATAGTCAGATGGCTATTAACGCCCGTTCGCAAGAATGCAGGTGAAATAAACATATTAAAGGCTAATACAAAACGGCAGCAGCCCAACAGAGGTATGCTTTTGATTAACTACCACACCACTGGACACCGTACAGAGACGGTTTCAAAAATGAGCCATATTCACTTATGAACAAATTAAGCATGCATTTCTCATACGGTTTTGCTAAAATTTCGCGTCGTTACAAGCACTTCCGTTCCGTACACGCTCATGAAATCCTTTTGGATTGATAGAGATTCCACAGTTATTTGAAGTTGCTGACGCTGTTTATATGGTAACAGCAGGTCTCGTGTGGTCTTTCTGACCCTTAGAGATAAACAGGAACGAGAAAGCCAATTGCCCATAAAATTCACAAACCAAAATATTAGTTTTATTGGGTTCGACATAAATCTTAGACTTAGTCAACGAACACTAGTCACACATCGCATGCAGTGGTCCCCCTCAGTTCGTCAGTCAGATGAAGTTGCTAGCAGTATACGACTCCCTATCATTCGAGGATGGTATAAATGTATGAATTTGAAGACAGCACTCCACTGGGTGTAGTGTAGCAGACAAGCAGCCATGCAAAAGCCTAAAAGCTGGCTCGACTGCTTAAACGTAAGGATGGATCAACACTGGCAGCCGCTTATGACAACTTGATGGCACTACTATTCCAGTTGCCATTTTAGAACCGCTAACCGAATCCACTCCAGATTCTCCGTTAAGACCAATCAAGATATTGAAAATGCGTGATGGATTTAGATAACGAGAGGAAACAGAGTGCGTTATTGTCAGCGTGCGCCTGTGATCTGCAAGCAAAGACCAAAAATCTATACATCCAATGAGTCTCGCGTAATTAATGATACATCAAAGTGACGCCAGTTAACAAGCGTAACAGATTCTGTATTTATCAGAGCCTTCACAATCAAGTCCTGAATATTCATCACTCCCGTAACACACCGATAGTCTTTAGAGCACACACAACAACTAAAACCTAACACGCAAGCAACGGCTTAGGTGAACCACAGATTGTGTCAAATCTCCTACCGAGTTTGCGCAATAGTCAGCAATTCACGTGAAACCGAAAGTATGCGGTTAGAGGATCTATTGTCAAATGTTGCACATCATTTCCAAGTAGTCCAATCGATGCACATATGTGCAGGTTTCGTAGGGTGTAAGGTTACAGATCCATCGTGCACCTACTATGGCTGGTTTCATTAGTCGAACTTCCAAGGTAATTTACTTGTCTTATCGGTTTTTATCTTAGAATCATGACAGTATAGGCGACAATCTTCCCTCCCATCAGCTTACATACTCATCTCTATTCCACTTATCTTTAGCGCCGACGAAGTAGCTGGAGCTTCGGAAAAGACGACGTAATTTTTCGCATACCCGCAAGCATGAAATCGGCACTCAGCGCATTGCATCTTGACTGTCTTCAACCGGACCACATACAGTCGAGGAAGAACACACAGTCCGTTTTGTCTACCTTGACCGCAGCAGCTCTGCCCTGCATGGCACCACTACGTTCGCGTCTGCACTCTGACACATGTTCCATAAAGGTGGATGGAGCAGACGAACGAGAGCAAACGAGCACTTTGCAAAGATCCAGCACGTTTCTGGCGAATCCAGCTCGTTCGCTATCCGCACCAAGGGATTTCGACTCCCATCTGTTGGGAGTTCATGGACCAATACGTACAGTGCGGAGCAGTGCGAGCCTGTTCCCACTTGGGTAGTTCGCAAGGGCACCGGCGCTCTTCAAGAATTCAACCATTCCAATGGAGATTTGACTTTCAACTTCGTGTCTCTAGCACTCAACTATTCATGGTGGTGTATAGTTTAATGCAAAGCATTTGTCATCCTATTTAGGAGTTATTTTTGGTTCCCAGAAGTATGTTAAATGCCACAATTACAACAAGATGGCAGTGCTCATATTCGTATTCCACTTCTGTAAATTGAATATCCTCTTTCTGTTCCATAACAGAGGGTAATCATTGGAGCAAAATCACCCTTTCATGACATGAACATTTCGTGTGAGCCAGAAGACAACAACGGCTAAATGGGTATTCGTAAGTACTACCCACTTGTTTCAGACAGACACAAACAAGTCATCAGAGACCTCGTTTCATTGGCCAATTGCAACCATAAATAGCCAGACACTTGACCCTAAACCAGGCATCAGCCGTGAACCAGGGTAACCAATGACATTTTTCGGAAATGCATTAAAACAGCTGCCAGTAAGCGTAGTTGCCTAATCAGAACGCTGGGGTGCACAATTCAAAAAGTAAGCATCTATGCGATTAAATATCTATAAGCTACAAATTCGCTTGAAGGCTCGGGCAACTCGTAATACATCATGGTCAAAGCAGAACAGGGTTCGAAGTTAAATACAGTGCTATTACAATACATATCAAAATGCAACGAGGATACCTCATAAATACCTATTCAGTATAAAAGCAACCGGGTCTTTGCAACACGCACATAAATGCAAATCACTGTACTTGACACTACACAGCAAGATGACAAACGACAGAGCCCACGAGCGATATCCCACGGGTTTTATTTCATCTTCAATCCTACCAAATTGGTTTGCTGTACAGCCTAAATGGGGGTAAAATGCGTTTGTTTATTAGGGTAACTTCAAGGGTGGTGAGTACAATGAGCCTCGGAGGGAGGTTTGGCATGAAGGGAACAACAAGGGGAGATCGGTCCCTGGGGCTGCGACTGAAACAATATTGGCATGTGTGCGTGACCCCTGGGGCAAATGTGATCCGATTCAGGTATGTAATATTACCTCTGGATAAGTCGCACAGTGTAGGAGCGATCATTGTAACAACGAGTGTTGGAATGCCATCATGGGGTGGGGTAGTCACCGGGAGTAAGACAAATAGCTGGTGGGCCGAAGTTTAGCCAACGGCGCAAGTGTTGGATGCGGTTGTTCAGAGCAAGATCCCGATTTTCAACTTGCGAATTGCCTGATAGCTTTACCGGTTACACTGACGAAGAAGTGCGGATTGCACGTGGTTGGCCCACTGGCGTTGACCAAGCCATTTAAGCCAATAGACCAAATCACTAAGTAGTCCATGTGACTGCAGTACTAGATGATTAACGATGTGCTAAGAGCACCTAGTTAAACACATTATCTGGTCCCTGGAATGTAAGGGTGTTGGACTGAACAAATTGTACTGTAACAATATTGGTTCTAATTGGTAATCATAAAGCAAACTGAAAAGGTATGACTTACAAATATGTGATCAGACCCGCAAGCGTTAATCACGGTTCGTAGTGGCCAAGTGATTAAGGCGTCAGCCGTTAAACACTGGGCCCAGAGTTCCACCCCAGCTCAGGCAATCTCTACCTGATGAATCCAAGCGAGGACGAAACCAGTCATGGGGTACATCTTTGGGAGTAGCAACACCAAAGCACCTCGAGACCTGCAATAAGTTGAAAAATAATTCCATGTATTCCGCTCGAACAGCCTGCAATAAAAATTGTGCGGATATATGTGCTATACAAAGCGTTGTCACTAAATGTGGTCCATCGCAGCCAGCTTTCAAATCAGCTAGTCTTCTATATGCCCGGAAAAGCACTAGACTGCAGTTTCGGCCCGTTGGGCATCATCAGTGGTGTGCATCCATCGGATCAATCAGGATTCGAACACATGACCAACAGTAGCTTGAACCGACAATCAGCGGCTTATGACACTGGGCCACCTCAATCAATATCCCATACTCTTGAGCACATCAAATCCTTGTTAGTAAACTGACAATGATCGTATGATAGACTAGGCCCAAGTATGAAATGTAACCTACGCAGTTCGACGCTTAAAGCATACTTTGATTGCGATGATGTGGATATAGATGTTATTAAAACATAAACTACTAATAAAAAGATAGTAGTAAAGCACTCCGTGAATCACGAATTCAAAATAGCGGTAGCATCGGTAAACTAGGAATTCACAGTCCCCTGAAAATTGCATGCCATTCCTACAACGCTAGGCCATCCTATGGTTTCTGTTTTTACCCTCATTATGAAATTATGGACGGGAACGGTTACATCTGTCAATGTTCCGATAGCTGTTCGGACTTCTACACGAATAACAGGTGCAATCGTAGTGTTTCAGTTAGACTGAAAGTGTTTATTCCGTTACATTGAACTAAGGCCAGAGCCACTTCCTAGGTCTTCGGTTAGATTTATGCCCTTCGACGGACACATCACTGGAACGATTTGAACAATGGAACAATGGTGTGGTACAGATGAAAAAAACGAACGCCTAAAAAGCCCCGCAGGATGGTCAGAATGAGAAACACAAAATGGTTAAAAAACAGTTATAACGAAAAGCATCTCGGAGAACTCATCATAGTGTTCACACAGTGGCATGCATAAAATAACCAACATCGATTTTGTAAGTTGATGCGAGTAGGCAGTAGTCAGTCTCACTATATCGTTTGTCGAAATACACAGTAATATCTCACAATGTGGATTAAGGGAACGTCGAGGCGTTTTATAAGCAAAAATAAAGTGGAGGGGATAACAAATTAATTTGGGAGGAAGTTCCTTGACTGGCACACACGTAGAGAGTAAAAGTTCTGCCGATATATTAGCACTATTGCACTCTTGGCCCCTCAAAATCGGGTTATGATTGAGTTGCAATAAATGGGGCAGACATGCCTTGAAATGCTCAAAATTTGTTGGCCGTGAACAGGCCACCAAGTAGCTGCAGGAATATCAACTGAGACCGCAAAATTACCCAACGGCGTCTGCAACTCCTATACACCGACGGCGTCACGCGGAGTCCATTTCCTACTCAGAGTGCAGCAGTTTCCAGCTAGCCCAACACAATGCACACCTGTGTCAAATTGAACTATGGTCTCTTGTAAACCACGTGTCCGACGTTGTGATTATGTTCCCCAACAAAACGAACCGCGGCGCCAACCCTGTACGGCCTTTGTCGGTCGAACAGGAACTCCCAAGTGTCCACCTCGCCTTCTGTCTTTTCTCCTGTGGATTGGTTGGGGACTTCCGCGTGCCACGTGATCTTACGTCATTCTAGTCGGCCGGCTTCATGCTACTTAAGGGCGTCTGGGCTCCCGGGTAAGTGTGCAATTATTCGTCTGGTTTCGTGGGCACCGTGCGTTAGCTGAATCTCTGTGTTGACTAGGAACCATGCTATAACCTCACGTGCAACTTCGCGACTAAGCTATCGCGTCCAGGGAAGAACAAGTTTATTATAGCGGCGATGGTAGAGCTTTCGAAACATGACGGATGAGCAGGCCGACTTAAAAGTTATGCTACAGCAGCAAGTCAAACCGATGCCCGTGCAAACCGACTGTTGCGGGCCCGTCAAATATTCCCGCAAAAACGCGCCAGAAACTCGGGCACAATTGCTGTGGATAGCGAGGTCTAATTCCTCCCCACAAGGTAGCAGTGTTCAGCCACTCCGAGACGCGGTCCAACTGCGCACCTGTTGACATTATTCTTGTACAAACTACCAGCCGGTCGTGGTAGCTTTTGTCCCTAACTTAATGACCCATAGCATTGGCTATGATTCGCCCTTTATTGGTTGTAAAAGAGCCTTCAGAGGACTGCCTGTCTTGCTTCCTCTTCGCCTTAGTTTGGAATCGGTCGGTAACGTGCTTTTGTGTGCGTCATTAGCCGAGCAGGGTTCGCGTCTAAGTCACTAGCGCGCGTCTATCGTAACCCCCTCTCGTGTGCGGCCGTTCCGAGGGCTCAGCGTCTACCCAAATACGTGCGGCTAAGATCGTTCTCACGCTCGCTTAATTTCCATCTCACCAGCTGGTACCCCGGGCTAAGCTAACGCCATCAGGTCAGTGCCAATCCGTTCGATTGGCCAACGCTCCAAGCAGTTACTGTAGGCGTGCTCCAACCGTGCCAGTGACAATCTTATCAGGCATCGTTTACGCAATCATAACAGAGGCGCTCTCTCAATTATAACACCGACAAACATTCCAGTTCTTCCCTTCGCACAGGTTGTATTGGCAATTTTCAATCAGTGCACTATGTTGTTAGTGGCAGTAGTGAATTCCTGTACTACGCCAAGGCTGGGCTAATGTTCTACGCTTTATGTAATCGGTACGTGGACCTATTCACCGTTGGTCTGACCTGCCAGGATGACGCGCGGAAAGTCCGGTACGGTCCAACACCCACGCTATACCAATTTCATCCTGCCAAAGAACCCACGAGAAGTTACTTTCAATGACAAGTGTCCGAACGTTATCGCAGGATTTCGGCGAGCCAGCCACCTTGTCCACTGCATGTTTTTAATGCCTGCAGCTGGCGAGTTGTGATGTCGAACTCTTCAGCATGTTCGTAGGCTTGGTCAACAGTAAATTCAAGTATGTTAAACTTGCTTCTCTCACAGAGTAACAATGTAAACGCTTGATATTTATCTGGGCTCCAGTCCGCAAATGATGACGATATCCGGACGCGCCTCCTATCCAAGTTACAACAGGATAAACGGGCACGCTCCAGAACATGGCCTAGGTGTGTCAAACGCTGGTGAACCTGAAGCACGACTCTACCATTAGCCAGAACACCGCCGCACCTGGTATGGTCCAGACAATCGCGGCATCCAGGGCACAATCGTCAGTGCACCCCACTCAACTCCAGTGAGCGAATTCCCCCCTCCCTATCCATGCCGATGCTGTGTTGCCTGACATTTCCACCGGGACTGCAATTTCCGGTAGAACGGTTGCCATGGTTGTGGCAGGGTGGGGCACCGCGATGATTACAGCCATCCTACACCTTCCAAAGAGAGCCAAAATTCGGCTGGTCCCACCTGGCGATTCAAAGAATAGGTTTCAATTAAGACGCAAACCCAAACCCTGTCCTATTGACAGCTTCATGGGCTTGCTAGCCACGTTCCAAGCCAACACGACGGATAGCAGAAAATTCATTGAGGTCATTACC